TGGTGCTCGTCGAGTTCTGAGAGAGAGGGGATGTGGTATTCGATATCGCTTTGCGATAGTTCCGATTCCGATTCAGATTCCGGTTCCTCTTCTTCTTTCTCGCTCTTCTCATGCTCTTCCTCCTCTTCCTCCCTCTCTTCCTCTTCCTTCTCCGTCCTCCTTTCTTCCCCCTTCTTTCTCATGCATCCTCTCTCCCGTCTTCATCTCCCATCATTATTATTATTCCTCCTTTCTCCCTTCACCCTCCCTCATCCCCCCGCACCGCACTCCTCCGAATCGCTGCCGGGTGGGTCTGGCGGCGCTAGTGTTCGGCATCCTCGTGCTAGTCCTGGTTGTCGTGCTCCTCCTAGTCTTGCATTCTGGTTTTCTTCGACCTCACCCTGCCGGCCTCCTGCTCTCCCTTCTCCCACGGCCAGTGTTCCCGTCTTCCGTCGCACTTGCTGGCTCTCTGGCGGCCCTCCTACAAACTCCTCGCCTTCCCCCCCCTTCCCTTCCCCTCCTCCTCCTCCTCCTCCTCCTCCTCCTCCTCCTATTCCTCCTCTTCCTCGTCCTCTTCCTCCTCCTCCTCCTCTTGATGCCTGATTCCTGATGGCTGAAACGAAAGTCGTTCCTAGCCACATCCTCTTCCTCCTCCTCCTCCTTTTCCGCATCACCGTCATCGTCATCATCATCATCATCATCATCATCATCATCATCATCATCATCATCATCATCATCATCATCATTTGCTTCTTCCTCTCCCTCCGAATCATCATCATCATCACCACCATCATCACCACCATCATCATCAGCATCAGCATCAGCATCAGCATCACCAGCATCATCATCATCATCAGCATTATCATCACCATCATCATCATCACCACCATTACCATCATCACCATCATCATCATCATCACCACAATCAGCATAATCATCACCATCATCATCACCAGCATCATCACCATCATCATCATCACCTTTATCACCACCACCATCATCATCACCAGTATCATCACCATCACCATCACCATCGTAATCATTATCATCGTCAGCGTCATCAAAACCAGCACCAGCACCATTACCATCATCATCACCAGTAGTATCATCATCAGCATCATCATCCGCATCACCATCATCATCATCAGCATCACCATCATTATCATCGTCATCCGTACCACCATCATCATCATCATCATCATCACCATCGTGAGCATCTCCATCTTCATCATCATCATCATCATCATCACAATTACCATCATCATCATCACCGCCATCATTTCAGCATCTCCATCATCACCATCACCATCATCACCATCACCATCATCATCACCAGCATCATCACCATCGTCATCATCATCATCATCACCATCAACATCATCATCACCATCATCCTCATCATCATCATCACAATCACCCTCCCTGTATTCATTCCATTGCTCCCTGCCCCCCCCCCTTGCCTCCCCCTCCCCTTCGCTTCCCTCCCATCATCATCACAATTAACATCACCAGCATCATCATCACCATCAGCATCATCAGCATCACCATCACCAACATCACCATCATCAGCATCATCATGATCATCATCACCTTCGTAATCATTATCATCATCAACATAATCATCATCACCACCATCAGGATCATCACCATCATCATCACCATCATCAGTATCAGCATCATCATCAGCAGCAGCGTCATCATCAGCATCATCATCAGCATCATCATCAGCATCATCATCACCACCGCCACGCTTTACATTATCAGCAGCATCATCACCATCATCATCATCATCACCAGCATCATCATCATCCGCATCGTCATAGGCATCACCATCATCAGCATCACCACCACTACCACCATCATGGTCATCACCATCACCATTATCACCATCATCAGCACCACCATCATCAGCACCACCATCATACCCAGATCATCATCATCATCATCATCATCATCATCATCATCATCACCATCATCATCGTTGTCATCATTGTCATCACCATGATCATCATCAGCAGCATCTTCATCATCAGCATCATCAGCATCATCACCACCATCATCACCAGCATCATCATGAGCAGCATCATCAGCATCATCATGATCATCATCACCAGCAGCATGTTCAGCACTACCACATGCATCGTCATCATCATCAGCATCATCACCATCATCGTCGTCATCATTACCACCAGCATCATCATCATCACCACCGCCATCATCGCCATGATCATCAGCATCACCACCATCAGCATCTCCATATTCATCATCAGCATCACCATCATCATCATCATCATCATCATCATCATCATCATCATCATCACCGCCATCAGCTTCAGCCGTTCCATCATCATCATCACCATCATCATCATCACCATCGTCATCTTCATCGTCACCACCATGATCATCATCATCCTCATCTTCCTCATCAGCATCATCCCCCCCTTGCTTATTCCCTTGCTTCCTGCCCTCCCCTGCCTCCCTCTCCCCTTCCCTTCCCTCCCATCAGCACCACCATCATCAGCACCACCATCATCACCATCATCACCATCATCATCCTCATCACCATCATAATCACTACCATCATCATCACCATGATCATCACCAGATCATCATCAGCATCATCATCACCGTCGTCATCATCACCATTTGCATCACCATCATCATCATCAGCATTATCATCATCATTCGCATCATCATCACCACCATCATCAGCATTATCAGCATCATCGTCAGCAGCATCACCACCACTACCACAATCATCCTCATCACCATCATCATCATCATCATCATCACCATCGTCATCAATGTCATCATCGTCATCACCATAATAATCATCAGCAGCACCTTCATCACCACAATCGTGATTAGCATCATCTTCACCAACATCATCACACGCATCATCATCATCATCATCATCATCATCATCATCGTCATCATCATCATCATCGTCAGCAGCATCATCAGCATCATCAGCATCATCAACACCACCACCACCTCCATCATCATTTGTCATCACCATCACCACCACAATCATCGTCATCATCATTACCATCACTATCATCGTCATCATCATCACCACCATATACTCATCATCACCATCGTCAGCATATTCATCATCATCATCATCATCGTCAGCATCACTATCATCATCATCATCACCACCATCATCTTCAGCGTCGTCGTCTTCATCATCACCACCACTATCATCATCATCACTATCACCACCGTCACCATCAGCATCAGCGTCAGCGTCAGCGTCAGCGTCAGCATCCCTCATCCTCATCATCCTCATCATCCCATCACCAGCATCCCCCCTGTGCTTATTCCCTTGCGTCCTGCCCTCCCCCGCCTCCCCCTCCCCTTCCCTTCCCTCCCATCAGCACCACCATCATCAGCACCACCATCATCATCATCATCCTCATCACCATCATAATCACTTCCATCATCATCACCATGATCATCACCAGATCATCACCAGCATCATCATCACCGTCGTAATCATCACCATTTGCATCATCATCATCATCAGCATCATCATCAGCAGCATCATCAGCATCATCATGATCATCATGATCATCATCATCAGCAGCATGAGCAGCACTACCACAGACATCGTCATCATCATCAGCATCATCACCATCGTCGTCATCATTACCACCAGCATCATCATCATCATCATCACCACCATCACCACCGCCATCATCGCCATGATCATCAGCATCACCACCATCAGCATCTCCATCTTCATCATCAGCATCACCATCATCATCATCATCATCATCATCATCATAAACACCGCCATCATCTTCAGCATCTCCATCATCATCATCACCATCATCATCACCATCGTCATCTTCATCGTCACCATCATCATCATCATCCTCATCTTCCTCATCACCATCATCCCCCCCTTGCTTATTCCCTTGCTTCCTGCCCTCCCCTGCCTCCCCCTCCCCTTCCCTTCCCTCCCATCAGCACCACCATCATCAGCACCACCATCATCACCATCATCATCCTCATCACCATCATAATCACTACCATCATCATCACCATGATCATCACCAGATCATCATCAGCATCATCATCACCGTCGTAATCATCACCATTTGCATCACCATCATCATCATCAGCATCATCATCATCATCATCATTCGCATCATCATCACCACCATCATCAGCATTATCAGCATGATCGTCAGCAGCATCACCACCACTACCGCAATCATCCTCATCACCATCATCATCACCATCGTCATCATTGTCATCATCGTCATCACCATGATCATCATCAGCAGCATCATCGTCACCACAATCGTGATTAGCATCATCTTCACCACCATCATCACAAGCATCATCATCATCATCGTCATCAGCATCATCAGCATCAGCATCATCAGCATCATCAACACCACCACCACCTTCATCATCATTGATCATCATCATCATCACCACCACAATCATCGTCATCACCATCACCATCACTATCATCGTCATCATCATCACCATTAGATTCATCATCACCATCGTCAGCATATCCATCATCATCATCATCATCATCAGCATCACTATCATCATCATCATCACGACCATCATCTTCAGCGTCGTCGTCTTCATCATCACCACCATTATCATCATCACCATCACCACCGTCACCATTATCATCAGCATCATCATCATCATCATCATCATCATCATCATCATCAGCATCAGCATCAGCATCAGCATCAGCAGCAGCTTCAGCTTCAGCATCAGCATCCCTCATCCTCATCATCCTCATCATCCTCATCATCCCATCACCAGCATCCCCCCTGTGCTCATTCCCCTTGCTTCCTGCCCCCCCTGCCTCCCCCTCCCCTCCCTTCCCTCTCCCCCCCGCCCCGGAGCGCGGGCGCACAACGATCCCCCTGCCTCCCCCGCCCCGGAGCGCGGGCGCACGACGATCCCCTTCCCTTCCCTTCCCCCCCCCTCCCCTCCCCCGCCCCGGAGCGCGGGCGCACGACGACCCCCCTCCCTCCCCCCAGGACACCGGGAACCGCTAGCCCAGGCGCCAGCAGCCAGCGCGGCTGGGTGCCCCGCGCCTCGCCCGCCTCGGCGCGCGCGCCCTCGCCGCGCGCGGCTCCCGCGCACGAACGGGCCGAGCGCGGCCAGCGCTCGGCCCGCCGTGCACCGCGTGCCCGCCGTGCACGGCATCGCGGCGGAGCGCCCACGTGCTCGGCGGTACAAGCCTGGGGCCGTGACGGGCGGGGCCCCGCCCCGAGATCCAGGCGAGAGGAGGAGGAGGCGGAGGAGGAGGAAGAGGCGGAGGAGGAGGAGGAGGCAGAGGAGGAGGAGGAGGAGGAGGAGGAGGAGGAGGAGGAGGAGGAGGAGGAGGAGGAGGGTCGCACTTCTGTTCGCCGGGCATTTTTGACCAGTGTTCGTGCCCGGGGGCCAGCACGGGTCGATCCGGGTCGACAGTTGCCGCAGAAAGTTGGGGCCTGGGGCTTCGGTAGGTCCTTCTCGCGACGTTGTTTTTTTCAATGCTGGATCTCGGGGCGAAAACAGGTGACCTCAAGCAGTGAAGGTTCAGCATGGCATGCTTGTCCCAGTCATCCTCAGGGCCCGGTCCCTCAAGGCCCTCTTTGAGCCGCCGACCCTTTTCTGCTCAGGAGCAGCAGCATCGAGCTGGGGCAGACGGGGCCCGGCCACGGGGGGAGAGGGGGCCACAGCGGCGTTCGCGGCGGCACGGCACGTTGGAAGACGGTTGGGCCGCCCAGGAGGGCTCGGGGGGGAGGGGGAGGAGGAGGGCGAGGAGGAGGGAGTAGCAGGGAGGGAGGGAGGAGGAGGAGCGAGAAAAGGAGGAGGGAGGAGGAAGGGAGGAGGGGGAGGGGGAGGGAGGGGAGGGGGGGGGGTGGGAGGAGGAGGAGGAGGAGGAGGAGGAGGAGGAGGAAGAGGGCCAGTGCAAGCCCAAGGCTCAGCATCGATGTTCCAATGAACCCTCCATCCAAGTTCGCTCTTCACAGGCCCCCCACAAGGCTTCGTTTTCACTGAAGGAAGTGCCCCGTTGGAAAACATGTTTGAAAGTCTGGAACTGCGCACACTTCAGCGCCGCGAATACACTTATTTCCAATATTCTTATGTTTTTAACTGCGCACACTTACAGCAGCGGAACTGAACACCAGTCTTATATTTTCAACACGCTTCAGCGCCGCGAATACATGTTACCGTTGCGTCTTGACGGTCCTGAGTCGTGCCAGAACACCAGTCCTGAGACTTCCACACCAAAAATCCACGTGACTGCTGCACACTGACAGATCGACACCGCGCCAAAAGACCACTTCGGTCTCGGTCCCCGGCCGTTTTCACTAAAGGGTGGTTTACCACCCTTTAGTGAAAATTCGAACCGCCGAAGACTGGTACACCGCCGAAGACTGGTAATTCGAACCGCCTGTCGTTCCTCGGACTGGTCCACCGCCGAAGATTCGACGTCGTGATTTTCTCAATACGGGCCCCCCTGCTGCCTCGACGGACCGGCTCTGCACCCCGAGCCGTTTCTTGACGGCCCCGGGGCCCCCGGCGAGGGCCCCGGGGAACCCGAAGGCCGCGACACTCTGCGGCTCGCTTTCTGCAGAGAGCGTTGGACCTCTGTCGGGCCGGACGAAATCGGGGGATTGGGAAAGGGGGGGGGTACGAAATCTGCTGCATGCAGCTGGTTTCGGCCCCGCCGCCGGGCCCATCCCTCGATGCACGGGCGCCTCCCGGCGCCGGGAGGCGCTGGGAGACTCAGCTACGTGAGCGCTGATTCTCAAGCCCCCCCCTTCCCAGACCCCCGACGTAATGATTTTTTCATTACGTCGACCCCAGAGTTCTGGACCCCTTCCCCAGGACCGGTTTGTCATCCCGAGTCGTTTTTTGACGCTCCCGAGGCCCGGTGAGGGCCCCCAGAGGCCGAGAATGGTGAAAAACCTCCCGTCATGATTTTTTCATTACTCGAGGGGGTCTGGGTTTGCTACCTCCCCCCTTCGCGCGACCCGACTCCGGGGGGGCAGCCCCGGGCTGTGCGCGGGGGGCCCCAGCTGCCCGTGGGAGGCCCCGTCGTCCCCAGGCGGTCCAGGCGCGGGCTCTGCCGGCGGCCGCGCAGCATGCGCGCCCGGCGGACCCCTCGGCCTGCCCCATGCGGAGGCCCTCTCTGGGCCTCCTAGATGGGGTCGGAGCAGATGCGGATGGTGCTGCTGATGAGGAGGAGGAGGAGGAGTCAGGAGGAGGATGCTGACGATGAGGATTATGATAATGAGGAGGATGCTGCTGCTGATGCTGCTGCTGATGGTGATGCTGCTGCTGATTATAATGCTGATGATCTGATGATGATGACGATGACGATCATGATGATAAATGATGGTGATGGTGCTGATGATGATGATGATGATGAGGAGGAGGAGGATGCTGCTGATGATAAGGATGAGGATTATGATGCTGATGATGAGGATGCTGCTGATGATGCTGATGGTGTGGCTGATGAGGATGAGGATGAGGATGAGGATGAGGATGAGGATGAGGATGATGCTGATGCTGATGCTGCTGCTGATGATGATGATGAGGATGATGATGACGAGGAGGATGCTGCTGATGATGAGGATGCTGCTGCTGCTGATGATGACGACGATGATGAGGATGATGAGGATGATGATGCGGACGATGATGATGATGCTGCTGCTGATGATGGTGATGATGAGGATGATGGTGATGCTGATGCTGATGATGTCGATGCTGCTGCTGATGATGGTGGTGATGATGATGATGATGATGATGATGATGATGATGATGATGATGATGATGATGGTGATGGTGATGGTGATGGTGATGGTGATGGTGATGGTGATGATGATGAGGATGAGGAGGAGGAGGATGATGATGATGGCGATGATGGCGATGATGAGGAGGAGGAGGAGGATGATGCTGATGGGGGAGGATCGCGCCGCATCGCCGATGCGGAGCCCGAGTTTCTCCGCGCCGACGTCGCCGAGGCGTCGCCGAGGCGTCGCCGATGCATCGCCGATGCATCGCCGATACCTCGGGAATGCATTGGCGATGCGGCGCGGTGCTTCCACCCCATCCTCTCGGACCCCATCCAGGAGGCCCCTCCCTTCGCGAGTGGCCTCGATGTCTGGCGGCCTCCGGCAGCTCCGCCGCCGTGCCAGCGCAGCCTTCTGGGTGGCGGGAGGCGGGAGCTCGGGCCGTACAGTCGGGGCCCTGAAGAAGGAACCCTTTTCGTGGGGGAGGGGCTCGGTTTTATTTTGATTGTTCTTGCGGCTTGCCTTCGGTTTTCCTGCGGTTTTCCATGGCAAATCGAAGTGCAACTTATGGGAGAGAGGGGCCCCGTTCCTTATTTGGGGTGCCGCCACGTCCGGCCTCTCGAGGGCACTCACCGGCCCTCGGGCCGTACAAACAACGACTGATCAGAGCGTGAATGACCTACGGTAGGTTTGCGTCGTGTCGACCAGCGGCGACCCCAGCGCGGGCGTTCAAGGTTGAACGCCGCCGGCGACCCAGAATCGATCGATGTTGAACGATCGGACGTTGCGGAAATGGCCGATCGTTCAAGGTTGAACGATCCAGCGCGGTGTCAAAAACCAACGCTGGGGTCGGCACGACACGAACCTGCCGTACCCCACTTTCGCTTCCAGGCAGAACCAAGTCATACCACGCGCCTCCTCGTCAGGCGGCCTGACCAGTACAGGCCGTAGTGTGGCATCGCTTGGTGCCTCCTGGAAGCGAGGGTGGTCAAAGGCGAGGTAGGTTTGTTTTCCCCCTAACTGAGGGCGAAAAGCCGGTCCCAGGGAAGGGGCGACAGACCGCTGGGGCCGACGCAGCGAAGAAACCGTGACGTCGGGGGTCTGGGTGGCGGGAGGCAGTCACGTGTGACGCGGGCCCCGGGCTGGGCCTGCTGGGTGCCTCCTGGGGGCCTCTCGGGGCCTCGTGGCGTCTTTGGGGCGCGTCGGGGGGTGGCTCTTGTGGTGGTTCTTGGGCCGTCTGAGTGTGCTCTTAGCTCTTGGGCCGTCTGGGCGCTTTCGGAATCCGTCTTGGGGGGCTTGGGAGCCCTCTGGGAGACCTTGGGTTATCTGGGGGCCCGCTTGGGCCGAATTGGTGTCCTCTTGGACCGCTCGTTTTGCCATCTTGGAACCCTCGTGGGCCGTCTTGGGGGCCCTCTTGAGGCCCTCATGGGCCGTCTTGGAGGCATCTTGGAGGCTTATTGGGCCATTTTGAGCTCACGGAGGCCCGAAAGGTGAGAATATGAAAGTCCATGAATGAATCCCGCGCGACCTCAATTAGGGGAACGCTTCCTGAGCGACATTTCCTGGCATTGCCTTGTATTGCTAGGCGGTGCTTGGCATTGCTTGGCATTTCTTCGCATCGTTTTGCTTGGCATTGCTTTGCTTTGCATTGCTTTGCATTGCGGGGCACTGCGGGGCATTGCTTGACATTGCTTTGCATTGCTTGGGATTGCTGGGCATTGCTTGGCATTATTGCTTGGCATCGCTGAGCTTTGCTTGGTACTGCTTGGAATAGCTTGGCATTGCTTGACGTGGCTTGGCGTTGCTGGGCATTGCTTGGCATTGCTTGGCGTTGCTTGACATTGCTTGGCAATGCGCGGCGTTGCTTGGCATTGCTTGGCATTGCTTGGCTTGGCATTGCTTAGCGTTACTTGACGTAGCTTGGCGTTACTTCGCATTGCTTGGCATTGCTTGGCGTTGCTTGACATTTCTTCCTTTGCTTGACGTGGCTTGGCGTCGCTTAGCATTGCTTGACATAGCCTGGCGTTGCTTGGTATTGCTTGGTATTGCTTGGCGTAGCTTGGCGATGCTTGGCATTATTTGGCATTACTTGTTATTGCTTTGGGTTGCTTGGCACTGCTTGGCTTTGCGTGGCTTGGCAATTTTTGGCTTTAGTTTGCGTTGCTTGGCGTTGCTTGGCGTCGCCTGGCATTGCTTGGCGTTGCTTGGCGTTGCTTGGCGGTTCTTTGGGGAGCCTGGGGAACACGAGGAACGCCAGCCTTCCAAATAGT